CTGTCGGGAGCCTGTTTTTTTTGATTCAGGCAAGTTTACTTGCATGGCGTTCGCCCCCCCCCTCCCCCTCGCCCCTCTTCAAGCGAATACTAGCGTGCAAGTGCCTTTCGACTTGCGTGATTTCCGCGCCCCCCCCCCCCCCGGGCTTGCTTCAGGCTCAGCCCCCCCCCCGTCCATGCAAGTAAACTTGCCAGAGTCTAAAAAAAACAAGCTCTTTCCCAAACCCTCCCTTTCGTCTGGCCCGAAAAAGGCTCTGCCCCGGTGCCCCTGGCTCTGTCGGTCCGCCCTCGGCCACATCGCGGCCGGGCGCCCAGGCCGGGGCGCCCCCCTCAGAGCCCGGAGCTCTTGACCTGGCGGCCGCGCGCCCCGCGACGGGCCGGCTCGCAGGGGGGGGGGGGGAGAAGCAGCAGGGAGGAGGAGGAGGAGGGAGGAGGAGGAGGAGGAGGATACGAATGAGAGGAGGAGGAGGAGGGAGGAAAGGGGAGGGAGGAGGAGGAGGAGAGGAGGAGGAGGAGGAGGAGGAGGAGGAGGAGGAGGAGGAGGAGGAGGAGGAGGAGGAGGAGGAGGACGAGGAGGAGGAGGAGGAGGAGGAGGAGGAGAGGAGGACGAGGAGGAGGAGGAGGAGGAGGAGGAGGAGGAGGAGGAGGAGGAGGAGGAGGGGAGAGGAGGAGGAGGAGGAGGAGGAGGAGGAGGAGAGAGGAGGAGGAGGAGGAGGAGGAGGAGGAGGAGGAGGAGGAGGAGGAGGAGGAGGAGGAGGAGGGGGGGTGGAGGAGGGAGGAGGAGGAGGAGGAGGAGGAGGAGGAGGAGGAGGAGGAGGAGGAGGAGGAGGAGGGAGGAGGAGGAGGAGGAGGAGGACGAATACAAATAAGAGGAGGAGGAGGAGGAGGAGGAGGAGGAGGAGGAGGAGGAGGGCCTGGGGATCGTTATCTTATTCGGTGTTTCGACATTGGGAGGAAATGGGGGGGAGGGGGGGAGTAGTAGCAGGAGGAGAAATACGAATCAGTTTTTTCCCAACGTCAACCTCAGAGAAAACACGCCCCAACCTTCCAGACAATCCAGAGAGCAGCAGCGACGGCGGCGAAAGCAGCTGCACAAACATTCGCCGCTGAAAACGAGAACGAGTGGGCGACCACACGTTGACGGGACACATTCCAACTACGAGCGAAAACGGCGTTGAAACTGTTAAGCCGCACTTCTGGCTACGGGCGAAAACGGAGTTAAAATTATTATGCCGCATTGTTTCGCAGTCGAGGGAACTGCATCACATGTGAGGACACCCTGGCCGTCAAGCAACAAGGACGCCCTCACCACCGACTAGTCGGACGAGTCGGACACCGCATCGCGAGGGTCCGCACCTTCGCGACGTAATTTGGCAGGCCTGGCGGCTCCCTCGAAGAGTCGCAAATCAGAGGCGACTCTGCGAAGGACCTGACCAGGGCTGGCTTCCCTCTGTTGCGGGGGATGGGAAGGCTCAACCACCGAGGCAGGAGGAGGAGTTTAATCAGTACCCTCGGCCGAAAGGTCCACATAGTGAAGGGTCACTCCATCCTCACGCGGGTGGAGGCCTCGAACGATGCGATTTCAACTGTACCTCCTACCTCTCATGCTGTGGTGGGCTAAAGAGGAAGGCCAGGGAGGGCAGCGATCCAGCAGTCCCCTCACCTGCCCTCCCGAAGAATAATACTTCCACCTGGTGCAAACTACAACAAACGAGCCGTCTGAACAATCGTACGCGGCCGTTGTGTGCCCAAACGTCCTCAACGTGTCGGCATTGAGCCCTCGGAGACCTGAGGGACCGGGGCACTTGGAGGCTGGGGGCAACTTAGAACGGGAGCCCCTCAAACAAACCGAGCACTGCCACACGCCGCGGATCCTACACCAATTATGACATAAACGCTCTGGCTGAATCGACCGAACTGTAAGACTGACCCAGGGCACACCCGTCAAATCGAGATGAGGCCAGGAGGGGAGGAGCTTCGCGGCTAACTTCGAAACCGTTTGCGACGTCAAGATCAGCTGGTCCAGCACCGAGGCTTCTGCGGCGGAGGGTCCAGGGTGCCGTTCACGGCCCAAATTGGCCAACTGGTCGGCGCGGTGGTTACCAAGCCTTCTGAAATACACATCTGCGGGCTGAGAAGGGTCGAGCTCTTGATGCGCGGCAACCTGCTTCACGTCTAACACGTGAAGGACCTCTCCATTGCGGGCCTGAAGCATGAACCCAGTGTGCGCTCTTCTGTGCGATAGGGCCAACGGCAACGCTAGGCGCCAGTGGTTCACCACCGACTGACAATCGGAGTAAATAGCTAAGGGGCCACAAAGCATGTACAGGACAGCAGCGAAAATGCCGTATTCGCCTCCCTGGGGAATTTGAGGCCATGGGGCCCACAAGTGTCCGTGGACCGTGGCCAAAATCTCGCCCCCAGGATCGAAGACGGCGGCCCCGAAACCGGCCCTTTGGCAACTCCCTGCTCGGGTGGCGAAAACACGACCCGTCAACAAACACATGGCCCGATGACGCTGTTCTGTCAATGCCTTCCCCTTCAAGGACCCGTAGACCCCCAGGAGCAAGACTCCGAAAGACAACCCCTTGGTCCGTGAGATGTCGAGGAAATGAATATCCAGGATGATTGAATATTCCCCTGGTGTATAACGGGGATGTCTTCATGCGATGCTGCCGCCAGGGCCGACTGGGCAAGACCGAGGTGCTTCTCCCCTGAGAGTTCCATCCGATCTTCTTGGCAGGCTGGGCAACTCCAGCGGCGAAGCAGCAACGTGTCGTGATGTTGGCCGCACAGTACGCACGTGGTTATCGTCCAACTGATCCCCTAGCCAAAATGCTCTAGTCTTTGTCCAAACCGCGTTGGTGGCAATACTCCTGATAAAACATCTTTCTCTGGCCGAAAAACGCTTTGAAGTAGAAGCCGACTTCACGATGAGGAGGAGGAGGAGGAGGAGGAGGAGGAGGAGGAGGAGGGCCTGGTGAGCGTTTTTTTTATTCGGCGTTTCGACATTGGAGGAAAAGGGGGGGAGGGGGGGGGCTGGCTCCGGACCTCTGCTCAGTGCGACTGTTTGCAGCAGTGCGTCCGTGGGGGGAGGCTCCACCGCTCGAACCAGGCGTCCAAAAACAGCCAAGATCTACTCCATGAGGGGGGAGGGGAGGAGGAGGAGGAGGAGGAGGAGGAGGAGGAGGAGGAGGAGGATGGAGGAGGAGGAGGCGGAGGAGGAGGAGGAGGAGTAGGAGGAGGAGGAGGAGGAGGAGGAGGAGGAGGAGGAGGAGGGGGGTGCGAGGGCCCGCGCCGGTCGGCACAACAGTTAATAGAAAAAGCATCGCCTGGCAGCGGCATGCTTGACCGAGGTGGCGCTCTTCGGCGGCCTTCTGACGGTCTCCTGCGGTCCCTGGCAGTCTTCCGACGGCCTTCGTTGGCCTCTGGCCGTCTTCTGACGGCCTTCGGTGGTCTTCGGTGGCTTCGGCGCGACAGCTGGATGGTTGCGTTCGACAAGGAGCCCATGACAAAACACCTGGTCCGCCGACCCCAGCAAGCTAGGGAGTGGCAAGGCGCGAGCAACGCTTGATTGTCCCACATCTTCCTGCTAGCTCCCGAGATCCCAAAATCAAGGTTGAGGGGGAGGGCGAGCTGGCAGACCCCAAGATGGCCCAATAATGATCAGAACCGTGCAGACCCCGACAATCCAAATACGGGTCAATATGACCTTTTCTGGCGTCGATGATGGCCCGACACAATCCAATCTTGTCTCCACGATGAGCCCCGTCGAGACACAATGTGTCCATTATGGATTCAATATGAACTCTAAATGACCTGAATACTAGCCTGGGTAATCTTGCACTGAAGGTCAACCAATCAATTGAAGACCAAGCGAGAACTACCGCGATACCCAAAAGTATGACAAGCTAAGGTGGTCTCGGCCGACGACGGGACCAACTAGATAAATCTGTGATACGTCAAAATCATACTAGACTGACCTGAACTACGATGCTGTAGGGACGACTGGGCGCAGCTACGCCGATACACTAACAAACATTGGCAAACAACGCTGTTCACACGCGCAGGCAGATGCACTAGCGCAGATATGTGTATATATATATATACTAGAACCATCACGCGCGCTTCACGCGCGCTCAGGTTCTAGCAGGCCCCAGGCCTTGACGAATTCACTGCTCCACTGAAGCAGTGGACCACAGTCCACGCATGCCAATCTGCATTCCCAAAGGCCTTCGAGGAAAATGGCTGTGTAGGATGGCGGAGGCCGTATGAATCGGGTTCCCAGAAAACCTTCTGGGAGCATGGGTTTGGGGGCGTCTTGGGGAGCCTGTTGGGGTGTGCCGTCGTCGTCGTCGTCTTAATGCCGTCGTCGCCTATTAGGGCGCGCCGTCGTCGTCGTCGTCGTCGTCGTCGTCGTCGTCGTCGTCGTCGTCGTCGTCGTCGTCGTCGTCGTCGTCGTCGTCGTCGTCGTCGTCGTCGTCTTCGTCGTTTCGTCGTCGTCGTCGGTTCAAGAGGGCACTTGGGGCAACGTTGTGCGAAACGATCTGCGGAGGGCCACGGGAAGGCGATCAGTCATGTTCCCAATCAACTTCCCAGACAACTCTCCTGTAGCATGATGGTACTTCGAAGCCTCCAGAGACTCGCGGGCCCATAATGAACAATGTCCCCGGAAGGCTTTCTGGGGACACGGTTTGTTGGGGTGTGTTGGGGGGTCTCTTGGGCGTTCCCTGGGGGCCCCTTGGGGACCTCTGGGAACTCTCGGGCCCATGATGAACGGAAGGTTTTCTGGGGACATGATTTCTTGGGGTGTGTTGGGGGGCCTCTTGGGCGTTCCCTGGGAGCCCCTTGGGGGTCTCTTGGGGCTTCCTGGGGGCCTCTTGGGCGCCTCACGGGGCTTCCTGGGAGCCTCTTGGTGGCCTCCAGGCGGCCTCTAGGGCCAGAGACCTCGAAATATCGGTTGGCGGTCCCCCTCTGTGCCCTCTCTTGGGGAGCTCTTTTTTTTTTTTTCTCCTCATACGGACCTCAGGAAGCCACGTCGCGCAGAACGCCACGTGCAGAAAAGGAACCGTGCCCAGCCCAGGCTTGGAAGCCTTGCGCACTCTTTCGAGAAATTGCAAAAACTGTCTTGGGATGAGAGGAGGCTTGTATCAGATTAGCGGGTGCAGCACGCGCTGCCAAACCAGGCGGCCAGGGATGCCGCCTGGTGGCAAGGAGGCCAGGCAAAGGCGCGTTCTTGCTTACCGCTGACAGCTGGGCTACTACTAGGCTGCACATGTCTTGGAACTCCTCACCGAGACTACCTTCGGAATACCTCATTCCTCAAAGATGGTCGGACTTTCGTCTTGTCTCCGGCCAAAACTGAAAAGGCGAGGGCATATGCCGTTGCGCTGCTCGCACATGCCAGAACCTCCTCCTTCTCGTCCTCCTCGTCCTCTCCCTGCTCCACATCCTCCTCCTCATTATCCTCCTCCTCCTCCTCCTCCTCCTCCTCCTCCTCCTCCTCCTCCTCTTCCTCCCCCTCCCCCTCCGACGAGGATTCCTTCTCCATCCTCCCCCTCTTGGGGTACGTGACAGCTTCCCCCGCCCTTTGTTATTCTGCATGCTCCCCGACTTCCCTGATCACCTCAACTCCCCTGGGCATCGTTTCTGGATGGGCTGGTGGGGATACTTTTTTGTTCGGCGGCTCGAAGGACAGATCAAGCGAGCGGGAATAACGAATAACGTTCTGGGGCACAGAGCGACATAATTGGCTGCAGTGGCACGTAGGCCGCTGTAGCGAGTGCACGGCAAAGGACGATGCCAGAAGATTGCCCTGCAAAAACACTGAACGGATGCCAGCGGAAGAGAAGCTGGCTGGTGGGGATACTTTTTTTTACAGCCGCGGGCGGAAGCGCCGGCGGCGGCAGGTCACGGTCGGGCTGCGGCCGTAACAAATTAGCCGGGCGCGCGCGCGGGCCGCGGATCAGGCGGAGGTGCAAGCTGCAGCCCAGGGAGTCTGAGAGGAGACAGGCACCCAGGGAGCAGGAAGTACGCTGCCAAAATGGCGCGATGCACACCCCCAGTCAAGGGTCGTGTCCGGTCCGACGACCACAGGGCAGTGGGGATCTTGACTCCGTGCAAGGAGAGTGTCAGAGAGCCCAGGGTGGCTGGTGGGGATACGCGAAGCGTCAACAAATTATTCCCCCCAGTGTATCTTCGCTGCCCGGCTCGCGGGTCTCTGGCGGCTGTCGGGGACCATCCGGGCACCCCCAGACGCCTCTCGGCGAGGCGCAGCTGCTGGTACGCATCCCGAGGCCCACGGAAACATCCCTCCCTGGATGACACCCCAAGGCCCAGGACGAAGCACGGCGGCGACCCGATACCTACAACCCGAAGGCGTCTGCGACGGTCTCGCCCGCCGAGGCCCCGCTCAGGAGCCGTCCGCCTGGCAGGGCCGCGTCGGCGCGGTCGATCCCGGGGCCCAGCCTGCCCGCGCCCAGCTCGCCCGCCAGCCAGTCGCGCACGCCAGCGAGCGGCGCGCCGGGCGCCGCCCGCACCCGGCAGCGCTCCACCCCGCCCAGGGTCAGGAAGCGCACCTCGCCAGGAAGGGAACGGGTCATCCAGTGTCGCAGGCCTAGAGCCCAGAAGTTGACACCAACACCAACAAACCGGCGGCGTGCCGCCACCGAGGGAAGAAGAGCCCGAGCTCGGCGATGGTGGTAATATCCTGGCTTCCGAGGTGGCCGGCATGTTCCCGCCAACGCCGAAATCTGGGGAGGCAAACCCCCCTGCGTTGGAGTTGCTGCCCCTTTCCGGGCCCTTCGCCTCCGCAGGCCGTCCACGGGCCCCAGGGCTGTCAGACAACGACTCGGGAGGAAGGTCTGGTCCACGGGGGACGGCCCCGGGGCCCAGGGCCCGTTCCCCTCGGGACCCGCTCCCTTCCGGCCGAGCACCGCGCCGCCGTCGAGCGACGCCTGCAGGAGCAGCGCCGCGCCGACGAGCAGGCGCGCGGTGTACGTCAGCGCCCCGTCCAGCGCCGGCACGGCGCACGGGCCGCGGTCATTCGAGCCGAAGGCCACGGCCGTGCCGTCGCTCCTGAGCAGCACCGTGTGGGCGCCTCCCGCGGCGACCATCCGTGTAGCTCTGTCGGGAGGCCCGGGGGCCCGCCGAGGGGGGCGCGCGCGGGCTCCTGGGAGCGCTCGGGGCTTCGGGGAAGGCCACGGCTCGAGCCGGGGCGGCAGGCGGGGACCTCCAACTTCGCGTGCCCGCGCCCCGCGATGCGCGACGCGCGGCTCTCGCCGCCCCCCTCCGAGCGGCCATGGGGCTCCCTGGAGCCCAGATGCGTCGGTATCCGTGGACACCCTCTGGATCGCAAGCGCCAGGGCGCCCTCTGGATCGCAAGCGCCAGGGCGCCCATCCGTGGACGTGGACACCCTCTGTATCTGTGTGTGTGTGTGTGTGTGTGTGTGTGTGTGTGTGTGTGTGTGTGTGTGTGTGTGTGTGGACGAGCGTGTGGACGAGCGCCGTGGACACCCTCTGCATCCGTGGACGTGGGATGGGCACCCTCTGGATCGCAAGCGCCAGGGCGCCCCTCCGTCGGCACGGCCGGGAGGTCCGAGGGCCCGCCGAGGGGGGCGCGCGGGCGGGCTGCTCGGTAGCGCTCGGTGCTCCGGGGAGGGCCGCGGCTGGAGGCGGAGCGGGGGCCTCCAGCTTCGCTCGAGTCGGGCCGGTGCCTCTAGAGGAGGAGCAATCAAAAATCGTCCAAGAATAGTCTGGGGACGAGTTCTGGATCATTCTTGAGCATTTGTGGAGTACCCTGAGATCCGATGTCGTGATGTTTTCAATGCGGGGTCCCCAGAAGTCCGCCGACCCCTTGTGGGTCTCTAGGCGTGTGAGATAGTTCCCCCCCCTATAGTCCCCCCCCAGGGACCCCAAACCGGCGATTTGACCCCCCCCCCCCGGGCCCGGGACGAGCGCCTCAGGCCCGGGACGAGCGCCCCCCCCGGGCCCGGGACGAGCGCCGCCGGGCCCGGGACGAGCGCCGCCGGGGCTTTGCCGGGTTCCAGGAAGCCTCAAGACGGGCCAAGATGGCCCCAAGAGGCGTTCAAAACGGCCCACGGGAGCTCCGAGACGCCAAACGAGCGCTCCAAGACGCCCAAGATGGCTCCAAGACGGGCTAAGAAGCCTCCAAGACGGCCCAAGAGGTCCCCAAGAAACCCCAAGACGCCTCCAAGATGCGTCCCACGAGGGTCCCTAGACGCAAAAATTGGCCCATTCCCCACGTAAAACGTACATTTTTCACGAATTCGCTTTTTTGGTTTTTCCGACGCTCCCAGACGGCCCCAGACGGCCCAAGAGGCCCTAAATACCGCCCCAAGACGGTCCAAGCAGCCTCCAGGGAAGCTCCAAGGCAGCCCAACAGAGCCCCAAGACAGCCCAAGAGGCGCCCAAGATTGCCCAAGAGGGCCCCGAAGACGGCCCCAAGAGCGCTCCAGGAGCGCTTCAAGTTGCCTCCAAGAAAGCTCAATATGGTCACAGACGGTCGAAGAGCGATCAAAGACACCGACGATCGCCTCCAGACGGCCCAGGACGGCCCCAAGAGGCCCCAAGAGGCCTCCAAGATGCGTCCCAGGAGGGCCCCTCGGCGCAAAAATTGGCCCGTTCCCTTCGTGAAACGTACTTTTTTCCACAAATTTGCCTTTTCAGCTTTCCGACGCTCCCAGATGGCCCTGGAGGCCTCCAATACAGCCCCAAGGTAGCCCAGAGGCGTTCGAGCCGGGGTCATCCGAGCTCCGGTGGATCCCGGCTCGAACGCCGCCGGGGGGAGCAAAGGGCCCGAAAACGAACCAAGAGCGCACCAGAGCCCCCCCCCCCGGGCCCGGGACGAGCGCCGCCGGGCCCGGGACGAGCGCCGCCGGGGCTTTGCCGGGTTCCGGGAAGCCTCAAGACGGGCCAAGATGGCCCCAAGAGGCGTTCAAGACGGCCCACGGGAGCTCCGAGACGCCATGCCTCTCAATCTTTTCTTCTGGCACTTGCCACTGCGCTGTAACGCCTGGCAGCTACGAGCAGTGAAGGCGGAAACGCGGCGATAGCCGCCGGTACGAATCAAGGGGTCGGCGGATGTGGCGTGAGCCTGGAGAATCTCGACCCTTTCCTAAGGGCCGGTTTCTCATCCTGAGTCGTTTTTTGACGGTCCCGGGGCCCGGCGAGGGCCCCTCGAGGCCGAAAAATCCGCCGGCCCCCTTGTGGGGCCACCAGGCTGTAGGCACGTGATTCGCAGTTTCCTGTACCAGTCGTAGGTTGTAGTTTCCAGTGTTACAGTTCTGCTTCTTGCTGGTTACTGTAACTAGTTGACTTATTGCTGGTTACTGTAACTAGTTGATTGACCGCGCGAGGAGGGGGGAAGGCCCAAACAGTATTTTTTAGCACCCCCTGGGCGCGTTGTCTGAATTGCTGGGGGGGCTCAAAATCCACACCCCTCACGCAGATCGGCGGGGTCAGGGTCCAAAAACACAGGGGATTTGCCACATTTTTGAAATTCGGTGACACCCCTCACGCAGATCCGCGGGGTCAGGGTCCAAAAACATAGGGGATTTGCGCATTTCTGAAATTCGGTGCCACCCCTCACGCAGATCCGCGGGGTCAGGGTCCAAAAACAAAGGGATTTGCCACATTTTTGAAATTCCGTGCCATCCCTCACGCAGATCCGCGGGGTTAGGGTCTAAAAACACAATGAATTTGCTACATTTCTGAAATTCTGTGCCACCCCTCACAGAGATCCGCGGGGTCAGGGTCCACAAACACATGGGATTTGCCACATTTCTGAAATTCGGTGCCACCCCTTACGCAGATCCGCGGGGTTAGGGTCCAAAAACACAAGGAATTACATTTCTGCAATTCGGTACCACCCCTCACGCAGATCCGCGGGGTCAAGGTCCAAAAACACAAGGGATTTGCCACATTTCTGAAATTCGGTGCCACCCCTCAGGCAGATCCGCGGGGTCAAGGTCCAAAAACACAGGGGATTTGTACATGTTTGAAATTCGGTGCCACCCCTCACGCAGATCCGCGGGGTCAGGGTTCAAAAACACAAGGGATTTGCCACATTTCTGAAATTCGGTGCCACCCCTCACGCAGATCCGCGGGGTCAGGGTCCACAAACACAGGGGATTTGCTACATTTTTGAAATTCGGTGCCACCCCTCACGCAGATCCGCGGGGTCAGGGTCCCAAAACACAGGGGATTTGCTACATGTTTGAAATTCGGTGCCACCCCTTACGCAGATCCGCGGGGTCAGGGTCCAAAAACACCGGGGATTTGGCGCATTTCTGAAATTCGGTGCCACCCTTCACGCACATCCATCGCAAGGCGTGGTAACCCAAACTGCGAGAACTCCCTCGGCCCTTTAATCGCAAGGTGTGGTAACCAAGCCCGTAAACCATACACGTCTTACCAATCGCCAGGTGTGGTAACCCCTCTTGTGATCAGTTGGTTTTGCTGATTGCGAATCGGCTTCGCATGAAGTTTCGATACTGCTTCACGACAGCGCCAAGGCCTCATGACTTAGCTCTTCCATGGCCCATTCTCCGAGAGGGGGGGCCGGCGGCAGGGGGCGAAGCCCTTACGGATATACATATATATATATATATATATGTATATATACTTATGTATATATAGATGTACATATAGATGTGTGTATGCTTATATAAATATGCATATATATGCATACATGTATGTACATATGTATGCACGTAGATAAACACACACATATATACATATACATATACATACATATATATAAAAATAAATAAAAAAGAGATGATCGACGTGCTCAAGGTGTGAACAAACACACGCGCGCGCATATCATCCACCCACCCACCATACACAAAACACGGTATCCGACGGGAAAGACAACCAAACAATAAAATGGTTCCACCACCCGAAAAAAAACAGCGCACCAAACAAATTGGTTGGAATTCCCCATAAATACCGTGAACGAATAGCCAGCGAATTCCATTCTGCTGAAAACTCACAATCCTGGGCGCACTGCCTCTCCAAACAAAACTCGGACCGACTCCACGAACTCGTCTATCAGCACTGGCCAGGCGCCATTCATGTCGTAGTCAGAGAGATCGGGCTTCACCTGCCGCAAGCGGTTGTCTCCCGTTCCGCTGCTGCCCCTCCCGCCGCGAAACTCAAGCATCGAAGCTCGAGAATCTGCTCCCGATCGATAGTCCTGGACCCTCCTCTCTCCGACGGGAGAAGACGTATTTCCGTGTCCAAGTGAAACATCCTCTCCTGTTGGAGCTCCTTCAGTTTCCGGAATCGGGATCTCTGTTTCTCAGACTGCTCTCCTATAGGACACCCATCGGAATCCGACTGGCTCGTCTCACGAATCAGACGGTCCTATAGGAAACCCCATGCGAGGCCCTTCGGAATATTTCGGGCACCTGAATGAACAAATGGAAAGCCCAGTGGGCAACCCGTGGAAAAACCTGTGGAAAGCCGTTGCGCGAAGGCTGGAGAGATAACTGGATAGCATCGACACCCTGTCGATGAGGCAGAGGCCGTGATGGCACATTGTTTGGCTGTTTCTCTTAGCCCTGGAGCGGCGCCAAGCGCCCCGAGGCGAAATTTCGAGGCGGGCGCGCGAGGGGCGCGGTCTGCCGACATCGGAGCGTCATGAGACGACGCAGGGCGGCGTCTTTTCTCCTCGTCGCCGCGGTTGGGCTCGGCTCAGGATGCTGGTCGGTGGTCCGCGGCCGTCCTGCATGGCGAAAGTGCGTAAGGTAATGCTGATCAAATGGCGGCGCCGCTTTTCATGGAACGCTGGATGAGATACTCCAAATGTCGTAATAAAAGGGAGGGGGGTCTGGACCCTCCAAAACGAACCATTTCAGACACCCCCCGGTGGGAGAACCCGCCAAAACATCGTCCCCAGACCCCGCCAGGCCCTCCAAAACAGCCTGGAAGAGACCCCCCCCCGAAATGAGACTCCTCTCCCTTTTATTACGAGATCTGGACCCAACCCGAAGACCCGAATTTCGGGTTAAGGGGGTACGGGTTTCATATGTGTTGTTTCGATGTTCCACGACCCCCCCACACTGGAAATCGAGGATAAATTGGGGCCTTCGGGTTGGGTTGGGGTGGTTTGGTGGGTGGTGATGGATGAGATGACCGTGCCGATTCGAAGGAGCACAGCGGGTGCTGCTCGAGGCTGAGGATGCTCGC